CGGAGTGGGGGGGGGGGGTTAAACACCTTAATAACACAAGCCACTATATTTGGGAAAAGGGGATAAAACAACTAACCATAATCATATGATAAGTAAACAAAAGAGCGTTAGTTAAGGAAAATAGAAGCAGTGATTCTACCAATATTGTCATGATCTGAGTCTACAATCTAGGTGTGATCAACAATCAAGATCACAACTGAGCCCAAGTGGACCGTTGGTATTGGCATGCTGCAAAAGAATAATATTTACATTTATGCAATGCGAGCGGAAGCTGAAACTCAGCTAACTAAAATATATACTTACTATAAGTCTGAGTAAAATAATGAAATAATTCTTAAGTCTGAATAAAACTAATGTATTAATAAAGCCTCTAGTGTCATGTCATGGCCCCGAGCTACCTTTAAAAAATAACATATCTAATGATAAGCCTAGCTATTAGCTAATCAATGAAGCCCCCAACTGAGGAGGACTCACCAACTGCTTACCGAAAAGCAGCAACTTGTCTAGCCACGAGTCTGAAAACGAACACTTCAACCTATATCATGAAAGGATGTTACAATATCTCTGCCTTGGATCATTTTTCCTTGAATGATGATCAAGCTAAGGTAACAAACATAGGCTAACTTTCTATTAATTTAATATTTCTTTCAACGTTATGAGTTTTTGGAGGAGTAAGAAAACCACGAATATAACACAAAAACTAAAATACTCAAGCATGAACTATATAGGTTGAATCTAAACAAGACATGGACAATTACCTCCGGCTACATCATCTTGATGAACGAAAAACTCTTGGTATCTGTCCTTCATATCCTCTTTGGTTTCCCACAAAGCCTCTTCAACAAAGTAATTTCTCCCTAAAACCTTCAATGATGCTACCTCTTTGGTTCTTAACTTGTGAACATGCCGATCTAAAATTTGCACTAGTACCTCCTCAAAGGATAAACTATATTTTACCCCAACAGTTTCTAGAGAGACAATGAGAGATGGATCGCCAACACATTTCTTTAACAAGGAGACATGGAACATGGGATAAGCTACTGCAAACTCCATTGGCAATACTAGTTTGTAAGCTACCTTCCCAATTCCTCTTAGAATACGGTAAGGGGCAATGTACCGAGAACTAAACTTTCCCTTCTTACCAATACACATCACCCCATTCATGGGCAATACTTACTGAAAATCCGATTATTCAATGTAAAACTCTAAGTCTCTTTGCCTTACATCAAAATAAGATTTTTGCTGTCTTTGAGCAGTTTTCAACCACTCTCTAATCAAAGTAACTTTCTCCATGGCTTTGTCGACTAGGTCTTTTCCTCTCAAAGTGGCCTCACCTACCTCGAACAAACCAATTAGAGACCTACACCTCCTCCCATATAGTTCTTCGAACAGGAGAATATTAATGCTAGAATGATAACTGTTATTATAAGAAAATTTTACAAGGGTAGGTGATCATCCCAATTACCTATGAAGACAATAGTGAAAGCTCGCAACATAACCTCTACAGTCTGAATAGTGTGCTCTTGCTGCCCATCAGTCTGTAGATAAAAAGTATATTGAGAGCTATACAGGTACCTAAATCCTTCTAGAAGAACTTCTAGAAATAAGAAGTGAATTGAATACCCCTACCAGAAATGATAGAAAAAGGAATCCCATAAAGCTTGAGTATCTCGTGAATATACAATTTGACATAATCTTCTATTGAGTATTTTGTCTTCACCAACAAGAAATGAGCAAACTTAGTCATCCAGTCTATAATTACCCAAATTGAATCATGATGTCGGCACGTATGTGGTAGGACTGTGATGAAATCCACGTTAATCATCTCCCGATTCCACATAGGAATGTTGATATCTTGAGCCTTTCTATCAAGCCTCTGATGTTCAACCTTCACTAGCTGATAATTAGGACACTTTTCCATAAAATAAACACTCATTGTTTATAACATTCCACCAACAAACTTCTCTTAAATCGCGTTACATTTTCGTGGAACGTAGGTGAATAAAATGCATGGAACTATGAGTCTCTTTTAAGATTTGGTCTTTTAGTCCATCTACATTTTGAACACATAACCTTCTTTGTTATCGAAGAATCCAATTTTCCCCAATGCAAATTTTTTTAACCTTCTCCTTATGAATTGCATCTTTCAGTTGGAGTAATATGGGATCACTATCTTGCTTCTCCTTCATCTCAATCATCTAATAGGACTCAAATTCATTTTGAACTATCACACCACCAACATCGTAATCTGTGAGACAAACTCCCAAACAGGCAAGTGTATGCACCTTTTTTGCATGCTCTTTCTTGCCTTCTTCTATATGAGCAACACTCCTCAAGGAAAACCTACTAAGAGCATCTTCAACAAAATTTTCTTTACCTGGAGTGCCACATCGGGAGGGTTTCCGCTATGGCTGGCTTGTCACGCCCTGAAGCTACCCCCAAGGGCGCAGACACGAGACCTAGGATCACGAGTGACCCCAAGCTAACCCTGCTTACATATCGTAAGCCTACTTAAGTAAAATGAAACAAGAAATACTGTTCGGAAGCTTAAACATAAGGTAAACTGAAATGATGGGGAATACCCATTCTAAGTCTTAATATATATATATATATATATATATATATATATATAAAACATATATATATATATAAAACTGAGTTTAATGACAATTGAAAGATCAAACTCAAACTAAAACTAAAACTAACTATGTCTGAAATAAAGTCTCTAACTGACTAGAGATGCTGGGACATGCCCCAAGTAACTCTAGAAAATATTGAAACTGAAATGAAAAGACTAAATATAGAAACATGTCTATTGTCCTCGAAATATGAGGACTCACCACTGAAGCTGCTGAACTAAAGATCGGGAACCGATCTATGCATGATCTGAATGCTGAGGACCTAAACCTAGATCACGAAAAGATGTAGCGTAGAGTATGCATCAGTACTTGAAAGGTACTGCGCATGCATGATAGAATAAAGTTGAACAATATACATAACTCAACAAAACATATAACTGAGCAATGATATAAGATAAGCATGATACTGTACTGAAAACACTGAACATGAACTAACTGAATGTAATGACCAAGTTTATAACATGCTGAATCTGAATACTGAATACTGAACTGTGACTGATAACCTAGTCGATACACTAGAATATGTTTGTGGGAGATACTAATAACCGACATAAAACCACATGAGCTAAATGTGGAGTCCGATGTATACGCCCAATCGAGAAGACCCAATATACTGTGCTAGAGGTATAGAAGAATTATTGGCATGATCACTAAGTCTAATGCCCGCAAAGGGGTCTTACCTACGGTGGCACGTAGTGCTGTGACTATGAGGGTGACTGACCCTTAGTCCACTCAGTACTGAGCCTACTCCCAACTGATTAGATGATTAACACATTATGACTGAATTTCTGTAATACTGACTAGCTCAAAATACTGACATGCTTAATGAAATGCAACATTAATTTACTGATAGTGAAACATTCTTAACTAAGGCATGTATATCTGAATAGTCTGACCTAGCAAGTGTAATTTATGAACAAAACGAATCTACACAACTATAGTTCTGAGTTTGGAGGAACTACTAAGCAACAATTCCACGAAAATATTATAATCTGATTTGGATTAGTCTAACAACTAAATCACAACATAAATTCTGTAATTCTAGAAACCCTAGGTTTAACATGTTGTAGAGAATCAATAATCTGACTGAAATCTAGGGACCAAATGGGTGAAACGAACCCACTAGTGAAATCCCACATACATGGTGACCAAATTCACGAAGAAATCTTTTGATCTTGGGGGTGGAACTGACGAAACCTTGTTGCATTCTTCAATTAGGGATGCTCGACTTTTTCCCTCTTCTTTGCTCTAAGATCGGTGATTTTTTGGTGAATGATTGATTAGGTTAGGTTCTAATTTAGTTTCTAGACTAAAACTGACCAAAACCACGTAGTTTAGGGGTTAAACGAAGTAGTTTAGGTGTCTAACACATAGGGGAAAAGACCAAAACGACCTTACTTAAAAGTATGATGCAGCTGACCACGGCCCCTTTAATGGATCGTCAAAGGGACCACGGACCGTGGAGCTGGTCGTTGTCCTTTATCCAGTAGTTGTTGGTTCTAGGGTGGCCCTTCATGCGCTCCACCATGGCCTATCGTCAGGACCACGGCCCGTGAAGGGTCCCGTGGTCTGACGTCTGGGCCAGGTGGTCTCTACTTGGCAACCACGAGTGCCAATACGGTCCGTGAGGTGGTCCACGGCCCGTGAAGAGTCTCTTTGTCCACCTCTGCTGCGAAGGGGCTGAGTCCATGGGCAGGTCAACGGACCGTGGTTCCTCTCACGGTCCGTGAACCCTGTCATGGTTCACTGGATCAAGTGATTTTCTGTTCCATTTTCTAAGTTTGGTTTTCGAGGTGTTACATGGCTGATGTCAGGAAGGTCAATTTTTAAACTAAGCCAATTTTTTGTGTGCTCAAATTTTTAAATTTGGCACTGTATTTCAAGAATTTTGTGTTTATACACGAGATGCCTTGGAGTAACAACGGATTGTATTGTGACAATTTTTTTAAAAAGTTATTAGAAATATATATATACACATAGAGGTGTGTGTTATACACATAAACCACTTCAGCTGGTTGAAGGTTCCATGCCAATACAAAAGCTGCTTGAATATAAAAAATTGAGTTCGGGGGTTATAGAACCCGTGTTAAGTTAGGGTGTTCCTTTAGGACTTGGTTCTTAATTTCGAGGGTGGAGAGGGGGGGGGGGGTAAAGACCTTAAGAAG